GGAAAAGACCCCCCGGGGGGGCCGCTGTGCTGGACCCCCCCAGCAGACCAGGGAGACCGGGAGAAGCTTTTCTCGCCCCGGAGGACACGGATGGCGACCCGCCGCCCGTGAGCTCCGGGGCGAGAAAAGCCCTGTTCGTAAGTGCGGATCCGACACGCATATGTCGGGGACTGACCCGGCAGACCAGGGAGACCGGGAGAAGCTTTTCTCGCCCCGGAGGACACGGATGGCGACCCGCCGCCCGTGAGCTCCGGGGCGAGAAAAGCCCTGTTCGTAAGTGCGGATCCGACACGCATATGTCGGGGACTGACCCGCGTATGTCGGGGACTGCCTGTAACTACCTTAGTTACCATCAGTCTAAAACTGTACAAGTCTCAGAAGAGGAGGAAAAAAAAAAGATTACACACTTATGGAAGTTACTTTAAAAAGCTTTTCTATGTATAAAAATACCACATTATAGTCTGGTGATGACCGTCAAAAGAACTGTACCATCACAGCAAAACACCTCTTTCTCATGGGATAAAACTCCTGCTCGTACCCCTGCTTGTACCTCAGTTATATTAGACCTTAAATTTACTGTTTCAGATTCAAGTAGTGTTCAACCTGGGGCTTTGACTAGAATAAAATTAGGGTGAAATTTCCTCATTTCATAGCATTTTATCATATTGATCTCATTATCGCTAACACAACTTACATTATGTGTGAAGTATCGCATTTATCATACTCCTCTGATTATCTCACTTGCACACACTGCCCATTAAACTACTTACAATGCATCTCATATGTGTACCAAGCCCCTGAACAATTCCCAACATCTTAACAGGTTTTTAAAAAAAAGTCCCAGAGAAGTGTTTCAAGAAATTACAGTGGTCTGAGGTGCAAAATAGACACATATTAGCACTCAAATAAGAGCCAGTTTGAGGTTAACTCTCTCATAAATCAGCCAGACTGGATATATAACACTAAAAAGGTAATATTCTTGATCGAGTAGTCCCCATGGGTGCTCCACTCATGGTGTCAGGCTCGTCCCAGCGCTGCAGTTTGGAGACATTGCATAGCTATGTTCAGCTGGGTCGCGCATGCACTATCCGCAGCTTGTGCCGTTTGCGCCCTTTGATCTTCGCGCGCACCCGGTTCCCCACTCAGTTCCTCTCAACCATCCTCAGCCACAGACGGAGCTCTGATCCTTTCAGCATTCTTTCAGTCCCCTCGGGATCTGTAAATAATTCGTTGTAAATAGTTATCCCTAGGGCTCGCCGAGTAGCAGCGAGCCCCGCTTGCCAGCCGCGCGGTTCTGCACATGCGCAGATCGCTCCGCGCATGCGCAGATCGCTCCGCACCAGTTCTTCCGGGGTGTAATCTACTCGCCAGGGGCAAGTAGATTACACTATTTGTTGAGCCCTGGTTATCCCACTCTTTCAGTTAACTGTTCTTCTCTTATCTAAAAAGGGGGGGACTCAAAAACAAAGTCTCCTTCCTCGACCCGACTGCACACAAGAGAAAGAAAATATCCCCTGCAAGATCACTGCTCCCTGAGAGGACCGCAGGGGATAAGCCAGGATCCTCTGGCTCTGCCCCACAACCCTCAGCGCAAGGGTTGGGGGCAAAACCAAAGAAGATCTCAGCATCTAAACGGTCCTTTTTGGCACCAAAAGCAACTTCGGTGCTGACAAATGGTGCCCGCGCTTCAAAGGTGCCGGCACCACTCCATTTAACCCCACAGGCGGTGCTGGAGCAATGGCCACGCTCGCAGGCAGGGTCGGCACCGAAAGGAGCTCTCCTGGCACCTGTGAGCAACCCAGCACTGATGTCGGCACCGCAGCCTACTCCCACAGTGCAAATAACCTGGGCACAGGCAGAGACAGAAGTGCTGCTACTGAATGAAACACCAGCACTGGAGAAGGAGCCGGAGCCAGCACCAGCACAAGCAACGGCACCGGTGAAAACAGATGCGAGAACTCTGAGATAGGGGACTCCCAGTTCCCCGTCTCCAACGTTTTCATCGGGACCTTCCCCTTCTCTTCCAATGTTTCGATTGCCTCTGCAGAATACCTACTAGCAACACAGCCCGAGGCATCAGTACTACCGCAGACGTTATTCGCCATATAGACCACACTCTCTCAATAATGGTTATTACAGGCACCAATCCTACTCCCCGCCACACAGGCTGTCACCACACTATCCTTATTCTCTGCATGCCAGCTATGATAGGTGACATACTAGCTGCAGATCGTCCAGGTATTTGTCACCTCATCCATCGGATTGGTACTACGACCACCTTCATGACTCCCCATATTCTTCACGCTATCACCATCACCAGAGTATGCATCAGCAATCTTCATGCTCTGATCCACCGCCAGCAAGACATATGCCACCACAGCCACAGTGTAGTTGTCAGCCAACCTCTCCGATATGCAGTCCGGGCGCCATGACACAGCACTCTGAACCAGAAGAAGGTCAACTGTTGGAAGCGGAGGACCAGCAGACTGAGAACACAATTCCTGACTGTTCATCCTCTTCTCCTGACAAAGCTGTCTTCCCAGCGGATATGTTTCCGCCGGACAACTTCAAACAGTTCCAAGACCTCTTCAAGCAGGTGGCCCAGTCCTAGGAGGTCCAAATAACAGAAGTGAAAATGAAACAGTATCGGTTATTAAAGAATCTTCACCCAAGACAGAGCGTGAAAGTTGCCATCTCTATTGATGAAGTCATCATGGAGGCTGCAGAAGTCATTTGGCAGACACCAGAGTCAGTGCCACCAACCTGTAGGAGAGCGGACAAAAAATATTTTGTCCCTTCCAAAAACCTGGAGTCCCTGTTTAATCACCCACCGCCAAACTCCCTGGTGGTAGACGCAGCTCAACAGCACGCCAAAACACCTCAGTATAAGACAACACCAGATGTCAAAAAGTTAGACATATTCAGTAGAAAAGTATATTCCTCTGCAACGCTGCTCTTACGCATAGCAAATTATGCTGCCTTGTTATCTAAGCACAACTTTGATAACTATGAGAAGATAGCACAGCTCCTGCAGTACCTGCCAGAAACCAAGCGCCCCCTCTTAAAGTCCTTTGTGCAAGAGGGCTTCACAACAATGCAAGCGAGTTTACGAATTTCGTTGGATGTGGAAGACACAGTGGCCCGCACCACTGCGACAGCAATAGTGATGAGGCATTCATCCTGGCTTACTTCCACATCAGTCCCCAAGGAGCTTCAGACAAAAATGGAAGACCTCGCATTTGATAAAAACAAATTGTTTGCCGAAAAGACAGACAAGGTCTTTCATTTGGGTAAGGATTCCCGCTCAACGCTCCACACTTTGGGGATGTATACACCTCCCTTTAGGCGCAACAACAACATCAACAGCGACCTTTAGACCAGTCATGTGCAAGACAACGCCAACGCCAACAGCGCAGACGACCCCAACCATCCCGTACAGTCAAACAACAAAATTCCAAACAGCAAGTTTGATGGTTCTGTCGAGGGCATGCAGCAAGTCCTTCCAGTAAAGGCAAAACAACAGGTCACTTACCTTTTTCACCATCGACTTCGACCTTTTCAAGATCAATGGGTGGCTATTACATCAGACCGTTGGGTATTACAACTCGTGGTATCCGAGCTCACCATCCCCTTCACCACCATACCACTCACAAATCCTCCAACTCCGTCCCTCTTCAGAGACCCATCTCATGAGACCCTCTTGAAACAAGAGGCCCAGCATTTGCTGTCCATGGGAGCTATAGAGGCCGTTGCTCCCCAGTTCAGAGGAAAAGATTTCTATTCGCGGTATTTTCTCACAGAGAAAAAAAATGGAGGGTGGAGGCCTATCCTCGACCTCAGGAAGTTGAACAAGTACCTCCACCAGCAAGGTTCAAGATGGTGACCCTTTCCATAATAATACCAACATTGGACAAGGATGATTGGTTTGCAGCCCTCGACTTGCAAGACGCATATTTTCATATAATGATTCATCCAGCTCACAGATGTTTCCTCCGTTTTGCCATCGGTGATTATCACTTTCAATACTGCGTGCTACTCTTTGGCCTTGCATCGGCTCCCAGAATGTTTTCGAAGACTCTGGCAGTTGCAGCAGCTCACCTATGGCGCAGACATAATCATATTCCCGTATCTCAACAACTGCCTTATAAAAGGCAAGTCGAGGCAAGAGGCACTACACATGGCTACAATAACCAGACAAACCTCCCAATCGCTTGGGCTTATAGTCAATGAGCAAAAATCGTCTCCAGATCCCACGCAGATTATAAATTTAATTGGTGTATGTCTAGATTCCACCACTGTGCGTGCATACTTACTTACCTCAAGAACGTTTTCAGATTATAGAAGAACTGGCCACGGTTGTCATCCATGCCCCTACAGTGACCGTGCTCATGTGTCTCCGCCTCATGGGGCATATGGTGGCCACAACCTTCACGGTCCAACATGCCAGACTTCATTTCCGCTGTCTGCAGCATTGGTTGGTGTCAGTGTATACTCCAACGAAACACAGCACACACAAGGTAATAAATCCAACCGCTTTAGTTTGCAGATTGCTAGGTTACTGGTTGAACCCCCAAAACCTACTAGCAGGGGTTTCATTCAAACATCAACAGCCATCAAGCCAGCTGACTACAGATGCCTCCCTTCTGGGCTGGGGCGCATATATTAATGGCATGTCCATGAAAGGGAGATGGTCTTTAGTGGAGGCCGTTTCCCATATCAATCTCTGGAACTAAAAGCCGAATTCCTCGCTTGCAGACACTTCTGGATGCACATTACCGGCACGACCGTTCAAGTTCTTACAGACAACATAGCAACTATGTATTATATCAATCGACAAGGAAGAGCACGCTCCTGACTACTCTGTGCACAAGCAATCTGCTTATGGACCCTAATAGCGTCCTACTTACCAGGCACAAGCAACGTCATAACAGATGCTCTCAGCAGATACTTCCCTCATGAGCACAAATGGAAAATCCGCCCCGATGTTCTGGACAACATCTTCCAAGCTTGAGGATTGCCACGAATAGACCTCTTTGCGACCTACGGCAACAGGAAATGTCACCTATACTGTTCGAGAGGAGGCATAGGCTAGTTCGCTAGGAAGCGCTTCTGCTCTATGCGTTCCCACCGACGGTACTTATTCTGAGGGTGATACAGAAAATCAGAGAGGACTCAGCCCGAGTCATACTCCTAGCACCAGCCTGGGCAAGACAACTTTGGTACCCATTTCTACACGGGATGTCCCTGTTACCACCGCACCCCTTGCCACACCTTCAGATCTCCTCTCTCAGAACCAGGGGTCCCTGCTACACCCCAGGACAAAGACCCTCCACCTCACAGCGTAGCTCCTAGCTGGTTCAAAGTAGAGGAGCACCTTTGTTCAGAGGCAGTGAAGTACTGTTGAACAGTAGAAGAGAGGCTACAAGAAGGACTTATCTGGCAAAGTGGAAGATATTCGTGGCTTGGTGTAACAACACTGACATCGAACCATATTCAGCACCGATGCACAAAATCCTTGATTATATCCTCTCCCTTGACCAAGCAGGCCTCTCTAACTCTACCCTGAGGGTACACCTATCAGCAATTACCACCTTCCATGTAACCATAGAAGGGCAGTTGATCTTTGCTGACCCCTTGACCAAGAGATTGCTTAAGGGAATAGCAAACCTTAACCCATCCCTCATGCCCCCAAAGACCCATACCCTCTGCTTGGAGCTTAGAATTGGTGCTGGACACTTTGATGTGTCTGCCCTTCGAGCTGCTAGCCCACCACGTTGTTATCTATGCTAAACATGAAGGTGGCACTCCTATTGGCAATCACGTCCGCCCGTAGGGTTAGTGAATTGGTGGCACTAATGGCAACGCCACTGTTCACGGTTTTCAACAAGGACTCGATCACGTTGTGCACTCATCCAGCCTTCATCCCTAAAGTCGCTTCACAATTTCATGTCAACGAACCCATCATTTTACCTATCTTTTATCCAAAACCACATGCCTCTATTTGAGAATTGTTACTCCATACCCTCGATGTATGTCGAGCTATAGCATTTTATATAGACAGAACACGGACCTGGCACAAAACCGACTGACTAATAGTATCCATGGCAGATCGCTCCAAGGGCAACTCATTATCCTCCCAGCATCTCTCGAGGATCATAGTCTCTTGCATCATGACTTGTCATTCGATCCGCAACAAGCACCTTCAGACCCTATCTAGGGCACATTTCACCAAGGCAGTAGCAACATCCACGGCCTTTGTCAGAAGAGACTCACTGCTGGACATTTGCAGGGCAGCCACATGGTCCTCAAACTTGACTTTTATGAACCACTATGCAATAGTTCGGTGGTGGGCACCACATTCCTACAGACTCACTGTGGTTCTTTTCCTCTTCATACATAATCACAAGTTATAAAGGTCAGATTATGCTTAGTGTGGTACCTTTGATTTCATTGTATGTCTTCTGACATCTAATAAGTATTGATGGTGAGTTTGCAGAAATGCAACTGGCTGGAATTTAGTAAACAATTTTATTAATGATGTTCAAGAAGAAAAAGAATACATGATAGTCTTCCTTGGGTATATGGGTTCTATTCTGCCAAGAGGAGTAAAAAAAAAGTAAACTAATATTTTCTACTAACTTAAGCTATTATGACTAAATCCAATTTAGGAGCATATCTGTTGAGGTAAAAGATGCCACCTTTACTGTTCCTTTTTGGAGCTAGAATGTAAGAATGGCCATACTGAGTCAGACCAATGGGTTGTCTAGCCCAATATTCTATCTTCTGACAGTGGCCTGTGCCAGGTGCTTCATGGGGAATGAACAAAACAGGCAGTCATTGAGTGATCCATCCCCTTTCATCCACTCCCAGCTTCTGGCAATGAGAGGCTAGGGACACTCAGAGCATGGTGATCTGCAATTTCATATTGGAGTCCTTATGCAACTCTTGGTTGACTAGTGTCTAGTCCTGGTGACTTATTCCTGATCAATTTGCTCCAAAATTTCCGCTAATGACACCTCAGTCTGGGATAGTTCTTAAGATATGTCACCTAAAAAAAAGAGACAGATGTGGGGATCTCCCTCACATCATCTGCACTGAAGAGTGATGCAAAGAATTCATATAATTTCTCCACAGTGGCTTTTATCTTCCTCGAGTGCTCCTTTGCCACCTCAACTCTCTACTGGTCCCATGGATTTTTTTAGCAAGCTTTCTGCTTCTGATGTACTTACAGATTTTCTTTGCTTTTTAAAAATATTTGGCTAGTTGTTCCTTAATTTTTTTTGTTTGGTCTAATTATACTGATTTTTTTAATTCATTTCTTGTTTCTATATGTAAGACAGAAACCACACTTTCAATCTTGCCTTAAAAATGGTATTAGTATATTTTTGTCCCTCTCTCTGAACAGCACAACTCCAGAGGCTGTCCAGTTGAAGAAAATAGGTTATAAACTAATATACTTTAGAAAGTTCTAAATTACTAGTAGTATTGCACATTTAAGACCTGTTTTATCAGGGCCTTTGAGGATTAGGAACAAATGCAAAGTGAGGAAGAAGAAGTTACTCACCTTCATGCAGTAACGATGGTTCTTTGAGATGGGTCCCTGCGAGTGCTCAACTCATGGTGTTGGGCTTGTCCCGGCACCGCAGTTCAGAGACTTTACATAGCTGTGTTCAGCCGGGTTGTGCATGTGTGATCCGCAGCTTGTGCCGTTTGCACCCTTTGATCTTCGTGCGCTCAGTTCCTCTCACCATTCAGTATCTGCAAGGATACAAAAAGAAAAAACAACTCTAACAGGGAGGAAGGGCAGGATTTGGTGCACCAGTCCCCTGATCTATGAAAACCCCTCATCTATGAGATGGTATATATCTCCATATATTATATTAATGAGTCAAGTGACCCTTCCCCCTTCTCTTGTAAATTGGGCAGATTTCGGATGGAAATCCTCAAGGGACAGATAAAGATGGCATTTTACAGAGTCACTTTTCTGAGTAATTATTCTAAATAAACTGGATAATGAGTCAATTTGAGCTAAAAGAAATCTATCCACCAACGGATTGGATTCTACATCATTAAAAAAAAATCTTTAGAGGCAGAGTACTAGAACTGACAACCAGGAAATAAATCTTCAAAGGCTTATGTCTTTAGGGGTCAACTTCTCATATTATTTGAGCTGGATATTAAAGACTGGAAAAATCAATATATCCAATGTAAGGTCAAGGCTAAGTTGGAAAGCAGGAATAGAATTCTTCACTGGGGATGTTAGGAATCAAGCGTGTTAGCTGAATACAATTATTATCCACAAGCTAGGAAAACAAAAGAAAAAAACCCCCCAGAGTTGTATGAAAGGAAAGGGATTACATTCACTTTGCAAACTTATTTATTCCTCCAAACAGAGCTTCTAATTCTGTAAGTAAAATATAAGCTCACAAGCTTGGATCTCCCTCAAGCACCATGTGCCCACGCTCTGCCCCCCGTTACTACGCCTGTGCCTTCAACGCCTCATCTTCCCACCCGCCACCTGCTGGTGCCCATTCCTCTGCCTGCTCTCCCCGCACGTGCTTTAAAACAATGAGGGAACCAGACAGGGATGGGCTGTACATTGAAGGGAGGGGGGGGGGGGTGTCTTCCTCTCCTCCC